GTCGTACCCCCCCCCCCCCTCGGCCGGCGCGTATGTAGAAAACCAATAGGTCCGGCGAGGGTTATAGCTCCAGCCATAGATAACATGAACTACCGGTAGTTCATGTTCGGTTCGGAACTTCGGTAGTTCATGTTATCTATGCTCCAGCATATCCCGACACTCACTGGACTTGGCGCCGAGCAGAACCGGGCAGGAGGCGTGCACAGTGCGAGAGTCTGCCAGGCCGCTGCGGCGCAGGTTGAACCAGAACAGGGCAGAGCCGGGCACCGGTGGCGCCGCCACGCCGAGCAGCGGGAATACGGTAGCGCCACCTGCACCGACCGAGTTCAGCTGCCGGCCGAGGGGGGCGTGTTACCGAGATCGGGTTGCGGACAAAGGTTCGAGTCGCAAACGACGCAAACGTATGACTAGCCTTGCGTATGGCTATGGCTAATGTACGTCACCAAAAGGGCGCAGGACAAACTTACGTATCGTTCATGTACGTAATTCGTAAAGTATAAAGTACCGGTACGTATGGACAAAAGTATGGGCTGTATGGGTTACCTATGGTAAGGTTTGGATGCAGGTTAGGTAAAGTCATGTTTGGCTGAACAGGTTACATAGGTCAGGTAGGGTTAGGTTGTATCTATAGCGAAGCGTAATTTTTCCTTACGTTCCCTTACGTGATCCCTTCCTGGAGTCAACGATAGGTATTCAAAACTCACATAAAACAGAAACGTTGCGAGTCGATCTCTTGGGTACGAGAAGTCTCCAATCTGAAAGAGGAACCATCGGTCAATAAAAAAACAAAAAAACAACAACAACAAATAAAGCATTCAAGCAAGTACCTACAAATGCAGATAGGTGAAAAACCCTGCTTCCCATGCTGTTTGGAAGTGACCCAACAACCTTGCACAATACCAATATGTATACTGGGGGGGGGGGGGGGGGGCTCTAAGGAGCCATCCCCAGTTTTTTTTTTAAGCAATATCTTCAAAACAGCTCACCATATCAAGACAAGAAACAGAGGTTGCCTTAGGGCCCTATTTCAAGGATGCAATTACAGACGTCCTTGCCCACCCTGCGAAGAAAATTGGTTTTACTTATTTTATGTGGCAAATCCGTCTGATATGTAAAGGCATATACAACACCCTCACTTGAAATTCATTTCTTTAGTTTATAATGACGGTTGAGATCAGCCATCCGGGATGTCAGGATGGAACACTCCCCCGTTATTGGCCTTTTGCAACGTCTAACGTATCACTCAGCCCCTGATCGAGCTAGACCTTTGCGGAGAAGTGAGCCTGTTGCTCGTAACGAGAGGAGATCATTTGCGGGGGTGTTTGAACACCCCCCTGTGGTTTTTGGCACACCTTATAATACATCAATTCTACCCATATTGTGAAAATTTCAGACCGAGGTCATTCAAGGTCAGGTCACCAGGTCACCTGAAGTGACCTCACCTCATAAAAAGTTTCAATGTCTGCCGTAGCTACAACGAGTGACCGATCGCTTTTAAACTTTCAGTGATTGCTAAGAGCAATAGTAGTTATTACAAAATGCATATCTCAGAGTTTTGATATTGATGACATAAGGTCGGGTCAATTTTGCGACCTCCCCATTATAAGTCAATGGGAGAAAACTGAAAAGCGCCTCTTTTGAACGAAAGCCATTAGAAACATTCCCAAACACTGCATTACAAGTAACTAAGACACACTGAACATGAAAATGGTGTCTGTGACCCCTTTTTATGGACGACGGTGAAAACAGGGCGCCTGGGGCGATTTGATCAACTTGATCAAATGCAGTGTCAAAGCCAATTGATCAGATCAAGGCTCGTGAGATTCACACGGGACATTTAGCATGTAGAAGGCCCAAAGAAGGGGAGAAGTTCCGAATGTCACGTGACCCAATATGCCCTCCGGCGCCCTGTTTCCACCGGCGTCCCTTTTTATGCCCCTGAGGTCATCTCGGGTCACGAATGGTATCTAACAGTTTTTCGCGAATAACCTTTGATACAGGCATGCTAGCCCGCGCCCTGGTGGGGGGGGGGGCTATTTTTTGCCCCCCCTCCAGACTTTTCAATATATCTCCAGAACCGCTGCGCCGATCGTCACCAAACTTTCAGTACCCTCCCGGACATCAATTTTACACATTGTGACCCAAATTTTTTCCAAAAGCTATGATAGGTTGGCCGGAAATGACGTCAGAGTGACGTCATGTTCTGCCGTTTTCGACCCAAAAAAGGGTTTCGCGGGAAGAGCTGTCAGGCCTATAGCTTTTCAAATACAGAAAAATATTTAGGACATAAAAGCTGTAGAATGGACAGGGCTACAAAACTGCTATCTCAGATTTTTGTTTTTTTTTTTATTTTGACCCCCAAAAATAAAAAAATAGATTTTTGGGATATAATAGTCAAAAAATCCAAAAAGTTTTTTGAATTTCGCAAAACCGGAATATATGTGATATATGTGAAATATATGATCGTGACCTCACCATTATAAGTCAATGGGGAAAAATTCAAACTGCTATTCTGGCGCCGGGAACGATCTCCAACTATCTCAAGCACACAGAATCGTGATTTGATGCACTCCTTGCAAGGTTAGATGCGTCACTTTTGCAATGTTGACCTTGCGTGACGTCATTTATGACGTCATCAAGGTCATATTCGTTTTTCGTCAATAACTCTTGATCAAATTGAGCTAGCGAGTCGGGAAAGCCACCAATGGACTCAGGAAGACCTGCCGAATCGAATGATATGCGACATGACCCCTTTCGACCAACTTCGTGACCTGGGGGTGCTGACCTGACCTTGACCTGAGGTCAACACCCCAAATTGACCTGACCCGGACAAAAAGTATATCATTCGACGCGCCTGAGCGAGACGAACACGATGCTGCCAAAATCGGCGCTCTGCGGCCGTTTTTTGCGAAGTTATTCACCAAAAACTGAACCGTACCTTGGGGCACTTGACCTGACCTCAGAGGTCACCGGTTGACCTAGGACCTTAAAATCGGGTACCAATCTCTGCGTCTCGTAACGGCGCACACGCTCGTTTTTTCCGCGGCGCGCTAGCTCCACCAGGGGCGAAACGGCGAGGGGGGGTCGTACCCGCCCCCCCCCTCGGCCGGCGCGTATGTAGAAAACCAATAGGTCCGGCGAGGGTTATGTATAGCCGCGCGTTTGCAAGCTTTTCGTGGTTTCAAACGTTCAAACATGTGATTTGGTGTTGCTCCCATGCAATAGGGTGGATGTCAAGGTCACCTGAAGGTCAGTTCAGGTCATTGACCTTTGGTGACCTCAGATCACTTTTTCGAGTTTTAAATGTTTCTAGGCTTGTTTTTTTAGCTGAATTCGAATTTAGAAACCATTTGAACATTTACGAAGTAGTTTTGGTGCCTTCGTAACATGTTACGAAGCTTCAGAGGCGGTTGACACGTACTACGAATACCCGTCACCGGTTAACCTGAACTGACCTGACTGACCCGACCTGGTCTAAATGCTTAAAGACATTATCTGCGATCAAAACAAACACGATATTCGTGATAAGCACCCGAAAAACAGACCCAACAGGTATCTAACCCGTTATTAGGTGTGTACCCGCTATTCCGTCGTAAAAACGGCTAAGTAAAAAAAATCGATTTACCAAACTTTCAAATGGGTACTGAATTCAAAATCAGCTCCAAAAACCCCATACAAATTCGTAAAACTAAAAAAGTCATACAAGGTCAACAAAGTTCAATGACCCTGACATCACTTTCAATTGACCTTGCAAAAACCATAATGCTTGGAACAAACATCATTTCACATGTTGGTACCTACGTTTCTTATCACGAACCGATGATATACGCTGAAAAATGTGGAATCGCTATTCTGGCCTGGCTTATACCCGAGCAAGATGTCATATGTGAATGGTCGGTTAGAGTTACGGTCATGCAATTCTAAGGGAAGCTGTAAAATTGATTAACTCGAGACTACTAAAAACGTCGTTGCGATCGGCCACTTTTCAGGCAAGCTATTCGAGGAAACCGAAGGACCGAAGGGAGGGGTGGGACCGCTCGAACCCCTCCCCCGAACGTAACTATAAGACGTGCGAGGGCTACCTATTTGGAAATTGGATATGTTTGTAAATCAAGCTGTTATATCTTTTATTCTAGTTCAAAATTTATTCTACCTTAGACTTAATTCGTCATAATTCTCACCAAATAGATGCTTTATAAGAGTCGGTTGGCCATCCGGAAGCTGCACGCGGTCAGAACCGCCTCAAATACATTAGTCAACAAGCGTGAGATAACACCACGCTCAGCACTGCATTATTTTGCACCAGGACTATGTGTGAGATCATGACGGATCTTCCCGTGACTCAGAGTTGTGGTAAAGGCGTCATTGAGTCATTTCACCCCGATAGGACATGGTCGACTATTGCGCCACACCAGTAGGTACTCTACAGCAGGATATGCAGAAAACAGATCAGCCTGATACAATATGAAAGAACGTTGGAGACGTGCAGATCATATGTGTCTTTGGAAGAGGTTATTTTCATTAGACGACGTTTGGTGGGTCAGCACTCTATGCAACGTGTGATGTAGAAAAATACCTTTTTATGTAGAACATCCCAAGGCCCTCGCGCGTCATGAAATGAAATCAACTATTGAGACTGACTAAGCAGAATAAATGCAAAAGGGAGAAGAGAGAGAGAGAGAGAGAGAGAGAGAGAGAGAGAGAGAGAGAGAGAGAGAGAGAGAGAGAGAGAGAGAGAGAGAGAGAGAGAGAGAGAGAGAGAGAGAGAGAGAGAGAGAGAGAGAGAGAGAGAGAGAGAGAGAGAGAGAGAAGATGAATAATATATGCATCAACTTATTCGTGCTAAAGGATTTCAAATTCATTGACTATCAAAGCCGATTGGTAAATTATTGCCTGATATGCGAAGCATGTGGTTAAAACTTAAATACACAGAATAACGGCAATCTACGAGTAAAACTGACACCCAGACCGCCATTCGGTATTGACACAAGTGATAAACGGGTCCATGTATTCAAAAATGACCAGCAGCATATCATAACAAATATATAGCGCAATACATACACTTATCACAATGAGATTGGCGGCATCCACTAGCCATAAGCAATGCATCAAACAATTAGCGGCATCATTATGTATAACACTAATGACTAGACATAACGATGCGAATGCCTATATGCTATAGCCTACTTGTTGAACACGCGCTTTGCGACACATTTACAAATGAACGGACCAGAATAATGACGGGACAGCGTGAGCAATGTGCAAGCGTTTTGGTCGCCCTCCCACATACTTGCTGACATGGCGGGCTGGTGTTCTTATGCTTGGTTTAAATATATAAGAAGGTAGAACGTAGAAAAATGTGGCCGAACACATGCAATAACGCATATAGAACACCAGCAAAACAGGGCAAACACTGTTTGACACTCATTGCTAAATACCCTTCATTCACTACCTACATAAATTGACACAAAACAAGCTCATCATTTCAAAGGCACAACTCACAAGAACCACCTCACAACATAAGGCACATGATGCATAGCATAATTTAGTCCCACAGCCGACTCGACTGAATCTGTCCGAGCACAAGCATTCCTGAGTCCTTGACCACGCCCACACGGCGAGGCTCATGACTCCGTCAGGTAGCACGTGAAGCCGGTTTTCGGGCTGCGAGAGCGCGCTACCTTCCGTCTCCGATAGATAATGCAGAAGACGATGAAGTTGAGCACGCCGCCGGTGTTGGAGAAGGTGGTGACGAACTGGAAGAGCAGCTGCGGCGGCGGCTCCACCAGCTGCCACGTGCCGTACAGCGCCATCGCCCACCACTGCACGAAGAACGCCGCCACCAGCAGCAGACACGTCTTGGCCGCAGCCAGGACGGAATGACTTAGCTGAGACTGACCGAGAACCTCCTTGTTGTTGCGTGCCTCTCGGTAGATCTGCAGCCAGGTGAAGACGTATAGAACGGCGCAGGATACCAAGACTACGCCGAGGGCTGTTGTCGTAAATAGGATGTTGGCGATGGAGCCCTTGACGGCGTCAAAGTAGCAGAAGGTACCCGTAGGTCCGAAGCCGTCCAGACTGGCCACCACGAAGCCAAAGAGAGCAGGGGTGCCGAAGATGATCGAAAGCAGCCGCCAGTCGCACTTGCCGAATGACAGACCCCGATAGCGGTGTACCAGCAGGCACGCGTTGATGGCCGTGATGAGAACCAGTATGTTCTGCGCCGATATGAACTCGGACAGCATGAAGCCGTAGAAGGCGCACAGCGCCGGCGGCGTAACGTGGCCCCGCTGGATGACGTAGTGCAGGTGGTCCAGCGAGTGCGACACGTTGAACAGGCCGTCACACACAGCCAGGTAGACGACGATGCGGTCACTCTGCGACCAGAGGAAGAACGGCCGCCGGTGCGAGCGGAACGAGCACACGAACGTGGTGAGCGCGCAGCAGAAGCTGGCCGCGATGCAGCAGAGTGCCGCGATGTGGATCACGTAGAATTGGCCGTTGTCCAGGCCGTACACGGGCAGGTCGTAGCCGGACCGGATCGGACGCGTCGTTCCGTTCTCCATCTTCAGCATGCTGAGGTCGTTTGGCATCATCAGCATTTTCATGTCCTGTCTGAACAGGACTAGAACGGAGGTATTTGATGGCCCCTGCACCGCCAGGACGACTTGTTTGGTCTTCCAAAGGAGATAGCTCCGGAGCAGAAACCCGTCAACTCACCGAACCAATGACTGTCTCACACTGAACACTTATCCGTAACGTCTAGCTTCCGACCAGTTCTGCGCAATTGCTTAGTCCGATACCGCCCTCTGCGTCAGCCCGGTTGACGTCGCCAGTATCGGCACGACACCGTATCAAACACTGTATCAAACGCAGCGAAAATATCAAAGCACACAATGCAGCTCACTGTCGCGTCGCCCGTCGGCGGGATAGATCCACTCTCTGGCTCTGGCTGCACTTGGCTCTGCAGACGACAGAAGACAGCTTTACAGCCGCTCTGAACTGGAGGGCAGCTTGCTCTGCGTGGCTCGGCGGATGTCTGCGACTCCCGGCACGGGTCGGAATGGCCGCCGCGCGGCGTCAGAGGGCTCTCCGCACAGGAAGTACGCTATCGTCGCTATAGGCCGCATTTCGAGGAAAGACATTATCGGCAATGTGCTGAAAATCGTCGCTCGTCATCTTGCCTACGTTCACATGACAAATTTGTTTGACCTGTTTGTGAAGAGACATTCTTTGGACATTTTTGACAAATAAGGTTGTATTGCACTTTATGCTCACTCTATGTGTCACCAAATACATATACCGACCGAAATATAAACTGTATAAACCAAACCATTTGCATTGGGGGATGATGTAACTGAGGCTTCAACACTTCAAGCATTCTCAAGGGATCAAATTCCGTGCAAAGTGATTCAGGCGCTACCCTCGCCGGCCGAGGGTTGGGGGGGCGGGTGCCGCCCCCCATAGGGTTTTTTTCGCGATAGCTCCGAACACGCTGGCGATAGAGAGGTGAAACTTGGCATACCTGACCTTTGATCCAAGCCGCATCTTTTGACACCAACCGCATTTTTGGGTCAGGTCAGGTCACTGACCTATGACGTCATAAGTGAACCTCTGCACGGTCTTCAGATGTCGCAACTTCGCAACGCCCTCACTGCCAGAGGAGATGTCACAGGGAAATGAAACTTGCAGGATCTAGTATCCATTATGAGTCTCACATTTTGTATATCTCGGATTTTTCCTAAAGGTCATATGAGGTCAGGTCATTTTCGTGACCTCACCATTATAAGTCAATGGGGAAAAATGAAAACTGCTATTCTGGCGCCGGGAACGATCTCCAACTATCTCAAGCACACAGAATCGTGATTTGATGCACTCCTTGCAAGGTTAGATGCGTCACTTTTGCAATGTTGACCTTGCGTGACGTCATTTATGACGTCATCAAGGTCATATTAGTTTTTCGTCAATAACTCCCGATCAAATTGAGCTAGCGAGTCGAGAAAGCCACCAATGGACTCAGGAAGACCTGCCGAATCGAATGATATGCGATATGACCTCTTTCGACCAACTTCGTGACCTGGGGGTGCTGACCTGACCTTGACCTGAGGTCAACACCCTAAGTTGACCTGACCCGAACAAAAAGTATATCATTCGACGCGCCTGAGCGAGGCGAACACGATGCTGCCAAAATCGCGGCTCTGCGGCCGTTCTTTGCGAAGTTATTCACCAAAAACTGAACCGTACCCTGGGGCACTTGACCTGACCTCAGAGGTCACCGGTTGACCTAGGACCTTAAAATCGGGTACCAATCTCTGCGTCTCGTAACAGCGCACACGCTCGTTTTTTCCGCGACGCGCTAGCTCCACCAGGGGCGAAACGGCGAAGGGGGGTCGTACCCGCCCCTCCCCCCCCTCGGCCGGCGCGTATGTAGAAAACCAATACCGTAAAGTGGGGCTATTTGAGACAGTGGGGCTATTTGAGACAGTACGGCAGTGGCTTAGTAAAAGTGCTGTAAAACAAAAACCGTTTGATATTTTTGATCAATTTTTGCTTGAGCTGATGTGGAATTTAACAACTAATTCCATGGATAGGGTTTTTTGAAAATTTTGGAAATTTTTGAAAGAAATTTGGCATTAGATGAGAAATACAGAAAAACCACAATTTAAGTTATACGAAAAGCACCCCTACCTGCAGCTTAACATGGCTGAAGTTCTAAAAACTTTGCAACCGAATCTATCGTAACTATCGTTTTACTTATGGGCTAAGCACATTTTACATGATGACATTATATATTGTTAGCGGTAGTGACAATTGTGTAACCCGATGTCTCAGAATCCCGATGATACCCACCTCGTCAAACCTCAACGTATACCAAATACAGCTGATGATTGTGATGCCAAGGCCCTAAAACAGGTGATATGATGCATCCTAAAGACTTACCGCCATCTGCCTAAGGTGTATCAAACGTTCGACCTAAGGAACACCGATGAATCGGCCATGGGTTCATGGTACTTTTAGCAGCAAGCAATATTTGCACATTGTAACTTTATACGACCATCCAGTTTGTGACGATATCAGTTACCTTTATGAATGTAGCACTGCAATGTGCATAGAATGTGTTTGATAAGTCACTGACGTGGTCAGTAATCGACCCATGCCTACTCTGGTTCACCATAAGCACCATCGAAGGTTATTTATCTACTGTTAGGTGAGCCTTCAGTATGCGTAGTTGATGCAGTGCGGTAACCGGCCATTCGATACAACATGCAGTGATCTAGGAAAATCGGTATAAAATCACAACCAATTGACCTTTTTCTGTTATTTCTTCACAGGTTGATGTGCAATGGAACAATCGATCATGCATATCATTCATTCAGCCATTTTGGAAACTGCTTTCCCCTTTTTAATGCATTACGGTGCGTTTAATGCAGTAGCGAGCCTGTCTCAAATAGCCCCACCAACTTTCGGCCTATATGTTTTACGCCGCCAGATATAAACAAAACAACTTTACTTGAAAATTTCATTATCGTTTACTTAGAAATAGTCCTAGATAATCATCCTGTGATTTTTAGAGCTTAGGATCACATCATATTATGACAGCCCTAGCATAAAGTAATGCAATTTTTAGCAGACCGAAATGCTGTGTCCAACGAAAACAAAAAATTTGATTATAAGGGTTATATAGCTGTAGTTGAAAGAAATACTTTTTGCCAGAAGTATCAAAATTTAATTTGCAATCGCATGGCATTAAAAGAATTATCCCTAGCTTGACCAATTTTCTTCAAATTGCTTGCAACTAAAACTCTCTCAAATAGCCCCACACTATGGGGCTATTTGAAACAGGCTTCAATTAAAAAAATAACTTTATTTATGGTTACTAGCTGAACCAAAATTGACCTATCTGAAAGCGGTTACAGAGAACTACGTTTTTGCAATTTACATGCTGTAGGAAATATCAACCGTTTTGAAGGGAGAGGCCAAAAACAGTAAAATCCGTTTCAAATAGCCCCACTTTACGGTAGGTCCGGCGAGGGTTAACTCCGTTCTTTCTTAGGTTTGCCAGACTATGTATGCTTACCTACATGCCGCAGCACTCATTCGCCTAACATTGATTCATTCATAGCTTCTGCCTGCACCATATGTACGAGGGTACGCGTAGGTACGCGTCGCCAGCGGCATAAGACTTTAATTCTCAAATTCAGATCAATCGTTCCTTAGAACCCGCGCCCCGTAGGGCTACCGGCGGACCCTACCACCCGTATGGGGGGGGGGGCGTTTCGGCCCCCCTTAAGATCTCGGAAATTTACCGGTCGATTTTCAAAATTCAAACGGCGTTCGATAGCCCCACCCGGGAACTACCTTGTGACCAAATTTCATTGACCTAGGTCAATTCGATGACGTCACAGGTCAGGTCAAAGGTCGGATTTTCACCGTTCATAGGCATTTCAAGAAATGTGTTGTGAAATCGAGTAAATTGGTAATTTGTTGAAAACCATCGATGGTACATTGTTCGTCAAACACGTACTTTGCTATCTGAGGTCACTGATACCAGGTCAGGTCACAGCGAGGTCAGGTCACCGGGGGTCACAATATGAAAGTGTCGTGTGATACATGTTTTATGGTCCATTTTACATAACAAATGCGATTATGTGGGTTAGGCAGCCTTTGGGGCCAGCCTAGGTCACGTTTTGGTGAAGGTCAGGTCAAGGTCAGGTCAAATAAGTCAAATTTCAAAGTTGATATTTTGCATAAAATGGGTATTGATTCGATGCAGCTCAACACGGGAGTCTAATGGTAGTCTTTGTTTTGCTCTACGAGGTCTAGAATTTCCAAAATTTGAGTTTGAAAATTTGACGTCATCATTTTTTAACAGTTTTTTTTTTCGCTATAACTTGGCCAAAAAACGAGGTATCGATCTGAAATTTGGTATGTAGATAGAAGACGGTAGGTGCTATCACATATATTCCGGTTTTTTTCGGAGCTGAATTGTTTTAAAAGATTCTTGGCTAATATATCCAAAAAACTGCTTTTTTGATTTTTGGGGTTAAAACTCAAAAATTTCAAAAATCCGAGATAACACTTTTGTAGCTGTTAATTCTACATCTTTTATGTCTCGATCATTTTTCTGTATCTTCAAAGCTGTAGGCCTGACAGGTCTTCTCGCGAAGGTCTTTTTTCGGTCGAAAATGACAGAACATGACGTCATTCTGACGTCATTTGTGGCCAACCTATCATAGACTCTGGGAAAATTTTTGGTCACAATATGTAAAATTGATGCCCGGAAGGGTCCTGAAAGTTTAATGGCGATATCTTCAGCCGTTTAGGAGATATCGACGGAATAGGACAGGGGGGCCGTTTTCGCCCCCCCCCCCCCTACGGGGCGCGGGCTAGTCCTTACCAATTAGCCTCGTCAGACACAATTACCAACTGTTCCAGGGCGACTCGAGTTCAAATGACCGCCATGGTCAGTAGCTATAGTGTGACACTATCGAAACTCCACCTGAGGTCAACGTAGCCAATGACGATCCACCTTCCAGTTAGGACGGTCGGGAAAGTCCGAGGACACGTGCACCGACTATCAAGCAAGGGGAGGGGATGGGTAAGCTCCGGCTGTCAAGTAGCGGTAGGGTGACGTATGTAGGCATCGATTGTTGACGGTCCGATTACCTACTAGCTGACAACGCAACTGTTGTACCGCCAGTGGCCCAGTGCGTCCGATTAGAGCACTGGCAACATA